CGCGTTAAACTCCCGATAGTGTATTTAAATAAGTTTAAAAAATGCGAATGTTAAAAATTAACTGCGTCTCTGATGTTAGTACAAAAAAATAGATTAACCCTAATATGGGTTTTTACAATAACCGACAATATAAGTTTGCTTTTTACGTCTTAGCACTTTAATATATTAACCAATCGTGCATCTGTCCACACGAACAAAGTAACGTGTAAAAATAAATAAATAAAATTATATCCGAACCATAAACCATATCTAGCGCTCTAAATATTATTTATTTGCTGTTGTAGCAATATCACAAATTAGATAAAATATATATTTAACTAACCATAGATAGATTACTCACTAGTTACTACACCGTATACCAAAAGTGACAGCTTAATTTATCGCGCAAATTAACTTTTAATAAATGGGAAATGTCATTTGGCGGTCCACTTGATGCTTTTACAGCGACGTTCGTTTAGCGATCGAGTCTTTGATGTTAACTGGAGATAAATTGACTGTTGGTAATTAATATTATGTTGATTTATAAGCGTAATGATTAAAGTAGCCAATAGGCCTACAAATTGCTCTGCCATTTCCTTGGTGCCACTACCATTCTGTGTTTTTAGTTCAGTGCCTACTAGTCATAGATAAAAGGTTTTTAAGAGATTACTTTTATAAAGAATAAGGCAAAGGTATAAATTCATACAGACTATTTTTTTTTATTCTGCTTTATAAGTAACTGGCTAAGAACTAGCGAGTAGGTAAATCATGTCCATTTCTGATATAATAGATACTTCATGCAATTAGAAGAAATACTTTCCCTTTTAATTTCAGTTAAATTTTATATAATAAGTAATTACGTAAGTATAAGTACGTAAGTATAAGTAAAGTAGGCAACGTAATATAATAATAAGGGGGGAAAGGGATTGTTAGTAATGGAGACTGAGAATCCTATTGCTAGCAATATACCCAACCAGGTCGACCTCCTCGCAGTTCCCCCTGGAAACTATTATGGTTAATTCCTGATGAATTCATCATGATGGGCTAACTGGCCTGTTTCCATTCTCATCTATCACCCTCCACTGGTGCTCCGCCAGCGTATCACATTAGCGCAGGTGGGGCTACTATACCATTTTCATCCATCAAAAAAAAAATAACAAAACAGGTTCGGAAGTACCATTTCTCTAACTCTTAATATTTTTATTTAATAATTTCACGAAATTACTATTTTATGAACTACCATAAACTAAAATTATAACAATATTGATTTAAATCTATTAGCAAATTAATTCATATTGGTCCTTACAGTAAATATTTTGTTGTGATATCAAATTGAAATTTTAAATTTAGACATAGGTTTGAAGAAATTGCCCTTCAGATGGCCTAATGTCTATTACTTATTACCATTATTTATTAGTCGGTTTTATTATTGTAGATTAATTATAGTCCATATAGTCTACCGCCTGTACAATGGATTGTGCTTAGAGGAATTGTTCAATATGATGCCCACAACCACTTTCTACCATCGTACGGCTCGCCATCGCCAGGGAGTTCATCCTCATGTCCTACAGCCTCAATGGTCGCGTACTGCGCGGTTTCAGAGATGTTTCCTTCTACGAACACTCAGGTTGTGGAATGAGCTCCCTGCCGAGGTTTTCCCAAGAGACTACAGCATGGGGTTCTTCAAAAGGGGGTAAAGAGGTTTCTTCAGGGTCGGCAACGCGCGTAATACCTCTGGTATTGCAGGTGTTCATAGGCTACGGTAACCATTTACCATCAGGTGGGCCGTATGCTTGTTTGCCACCTCAGTGGTATAAAAAAAGTCCAACAATTACTCACACCAAGGCTTACAAATTCCTTACCAAAATTATTACTAAAGAAAAGAAATAATTATTCTCAAAAAATATCAGCAAGCTAAATATTTTTCTTCCTTTGAAAAACATAACTTTGATGGTAACTTTAGAATTATACCTTTAGTTTTCCGTTGACGCCGTATTATTACAACTGTGTTAAATGAAGTAAGGGCATTGACCGTCCGCAAAGTAACATAATAACAAAGTAGAATAATAGATAAATCTATTATTTTCATTAGATATTTATAGGTAAATATTAAGTACTTTACAATAGTGTCTTCAGACAATGAATAGTAGGTACATAGAATAACAGGTGGTCTATTATCAATGTCCTGGATTCTCCTACCAAGGCGCCCTATTTTAAACTAATAATTTATTATTACTTGTAATATTTCAAAGTATTCAAGTAGTTTTGTACAATACGTAATACTAATCATATTTTAATACGATTCCTGATACCAACCAAATCTATTATTTATTTATTATTATAATATAATATATATAAAAAAATATTATTTATTATTAAGATATATGTATATAAGAAACAGTATACTCTGTTATGTCCATGGTACTGCTCATGTGTATAGGCGACGGTTACCACTCCATCACGTGGGCCGTCAGCTCGTTTGCCATTCTAAGTTGTACAAAAAAAAAGATACGTTCCATATCTTTCAAAGTAACTCAAAATCTTTATGAATGAAAATAATATTATTATTAAAATTATGGACTTTCTACTGGAATGTTTATTTTATTTGGAAAACAAATAGTATAATTATTTAAAAAAAAAAGTTCACAATAAGCAACCAGCAGTCAAGCAAGTATAATATTATTCAAGGGAAAACAAAATGTAAATAGTTACTTAAATTATATTTATTTATTTAACTCTTTATTGCACCAGAAACATAAAAATATACAATAACAATTAAATAATTTAGGTGAAATACGGTAGCAAAATTACAAATTAAAATACACATAAAGGTACAAAAGGCGTTCTTATCGGTGGGACAATCTCTTAAAGACAATCTTTGGTTAAAGAACATATAGAAGTGGGTAGGTGGCTGAAGAGTGAATTAATAATTTTTACATAACTTTGTTCATTTATTTAATTTTTTATCGCATTAGAAATATAAAAATATACAATAATAATTGAATAATTAAATTGAAATACAGTAGCGTAAATTACAAATTAAAATATATAACATAAAGGTACAAAAGGTGATCTTATCACTAGGGCATCTCTTACAGAAAAGCTTTGATTAAAGAATAAGTTTTTATAACTACAGTAGTTTTCGTATGTATAGAGATATTTGCAGCTTTATAGGGATCTACGGATAACTCTGTGGTCGGGATGTATCCATATAAATTTGTCATAAATCGGAAAACGACACGTCACTACCTGGACTCGACAGTTTTAGGGCTTCCAGGGATAACATTGTAAGCCGACACTTTCTCAATATGAAAAGGGTTTGTTAGTACAAACTATATACTTATGTAAATAAATAAAATGCAAACGTTATCGCCTTAGATTTAGACTATTTATTTATTTACTTTCATTGCATACGAGTATATATATATATATATATATATGATCATATCGTCATAGTCGTAGAATACTGACGGATCTGACAAATATTACATATAAAGATCCGTCAGTATTCTACGACTATGACGATATCAGCCGTCCGTCAACTGTTCACTTTTAAACATAATAAAGCAAAGAAAGGAGAAAAAAAAAACAGTCGCTTACACATACATATATGTGAAAGCAACTCTGTTTTTTCCTTTTATTGCTTTTTTGGCATTTTAATAGGTTGTGAACGTAATGAAATTTGTCATAATTACCAACATTTGGCATAGAGAAGAACTAAAGGCTACTTTGTATTGTAGTCACACAGAGGAAGTCGCGGGCACAGCTGGTGCTTATAAAATCTAAGAGCGTTTATCCAGCCAATACAAAAAAAGTCACTGTACCAACTGATAACGAGCGATAAGAGAGGACACAGTAGCTTATTTTAACAATGATTATACAGTGTAAACTATGAGAAATGCCTTAAGATTAAGGGTGATGTTACTTTTATTTATGATCACGATTATATTCCTTAGGGGGATAGTCAGTTACTATTAGTAATTAATTTTTGTAGGCATTTTTATACATTTAAAATCAAAATGGAGATTGAATGTTTTTGATGGATTTCTAGTATAGCAAACTTCTTTATGGGGCAGGCCTATATTTAGCAGCAAATAGCAAACGGTTGATATAATAATTAAATTATAAATAGAAGCAATAAGAACTGCATTGGTCCCTTGCACTAATGGGTACTATCGCGAACCCTAGTTATAAAATGTTATAATTTAATGCCATTAGTGCAAAAATCTGGCATTCGAGAGTGCTCGCCGCCATCGCATGGAAGTGCTCAAGATTTAATTCGAGCTAAGCTAACGAGTTAACGAAAACCGCGTAAGGTTCAGGCCGCCCAAGGAATGTGCGCTGGCGGTCCGTCGCAGCCGCGCGGGCGATCGTCCTTCAGCGCACGTTACAAGGAGCGTAGCCAAACAACGAGCGCGTGACGTCACGTGCTCAAGACCTTCTAACTTGAGCTAGTGATCTATGAACAGTTGTGGCATCACACTAAAGAATACACTTCCGAAGTACATTGGTTGTCGCTCTGTATATATACCAAGCAACTTTAAAAATACTGTTAGCGCGTTTTAGGATTGTATATCATTCTCTTCAAAATATTTTTTATAATTATAACTATCACATATATAATTATGAAATACGTTGTATTATTAATTTATACATGTTACTGTATTTTATTTGCTATAAATTAATAATAATTATAATATTAAAATAACAGAAAATAATAACTTGATCTGACTACGCCATCTATTGGAAAACTTGATTAATTGTAATTCAATTTCAAGCGGTGTATTATAGCGACAAGAAGCGGTCTTCGAGTATTATTCTAATAATTACGTTACAACTTTTATTCTAATTTATTTTTTTATATGCAACTTATATATCTGAATATATATATATTACAAAAATATCGGTAAAATCAGTAGGTGTAAATGTGAACGATTCCTTCTACAGACTGGTATATACTGCCATCTGTGTGAGAGTTCTATTGAACTTTTTGTTAACATTATTTTTATGCCTTGTTTCAGAACATCAAACAATGAACGAGATGAAAGCCCTTGTACAGATGGCAATGTTTCTCCTGAACCACCCGATCGTCCCCCTGGGAAAGTACGACAAATACACCCAGAAGATAAAACTCAAGTGCTCGCATATGATTCCTCCTATCGCAGAAAAAGTAAACCTACTACTCTAGCGCTACAGGAAAATCATTACAATCATTTAGCGAATACAAATGTGGCAATGACGCCTTATCCACTGACACCAAATATTTGTGTTGAAGGAGGAAAGATTGAGTTCATAAAATCGCCACCGAGTAGCGCTAGGAACAGTGTGGCGCTAGTGTCGCCACCTCAAACGCCACTGTCAGCGAGGCGCGGTTCGCGTGAGAAACGAGAAGCTCGAATTTATGACGAGCCAACCGAGAAGTTCGATGGTGATAAGGTAGGTGGCGCTAATTTTATTTGATTAATTTTATATTTGCTAAAATATACAGTACAATGTAACAATGAATTTTTATTTCAAACAAAATTTAAAGGTAAAAAGGTAAAATTAATATTAAACAATTACGATATTAAAATCGATAATTTTAGTTATGTATGAATAAGTATATTCTACTATTTTAATTTGCTTTTAAAATAAATTATTTGTGAACCTATATTTTCGAATATTATTACACTTATTATTAAAAAAAAAGTGTATTTATTGTACTGAAGAGAAAGTATGTGTCGTCCTTTAAATAAAACATTAAAAAACAAACAATTAAAAAACCGAAACCGACGGATACGAGGATATCTTTTTTTGGAATAAGTTAAAAAATAATATTCAAACAAAACTGACGAAAAAGAAAATTCCGTTTAAAACTTCGAGGTCTTTGTGTTGCATTTCAATTTCGTCGAATTGAAAAAAGTTAAGGGACCACGGTGACCCTTGTCAAAAATATTCCACGAATTGTTTTTCGTTTATATAAACTTTTGTTTCAAACCTACTTGTATATAGTTACAAATCTATGTACAAAAGTTTCACATTTTGCATGTTTATCTAATGTTTTAAGTAATTCATCCATAAATACGTAACAAGTATAAGTATTATGCTTTTCAAAAAGAAAACAACAATTTAAAGAATTATTAAAATCGGTAACGGTGAAATGAAAATAAATTATATTATATTTAATTATGTATATATATATATATATATATATATATATATATATATATATATATATATATATATATATATATTATATTTACTTATGTAAAAGCATATATATATATATATATATATATATATATATATATATATATATATATATATATATATATATATATATATATATATATATATACCTTGTACTATGTAGTGGTACAGATACAGGTTGTTCCTTTTATCAAAAATTTAAAAATATTTTTTAGTTATTTGTTATAAGGAATTAGTTACTTTAATAATATACTGTATGCATATATATTAAATATAAACAATAGTCACACATCGTATGATACTTGTTCTCCACATAGGGACGCGAAGTATTGTATCAAATATTTTCTTTTTTACAAAACAATATTTAGAAATTATAGGAGGAGATCCAGTAAGTAATTGAACTCATGGGCCTTAATGCCTCTTTAGTTGTCCTTAAATTGTTTTTAGATCCGTATTCGCCCTTCATAAGATTGCCTCAGTAAAGCTTTAGGGATATATTCTATGATGGAGTGAGTTTAAAGTACTTATGTTTAATATTAAGAAAGTTCACTCAGATAATCGTTTTTAGTAGAAACCCTTAAGACTACCCTGGATTACTTACCACGTAGGTGTTCCATGTACTTCCCACACATCAGTTCTCCGAAGAAATCGTTAAACTGTATTTGCTGAAGACAGTTTTTTCGGATGAGAACCTCAGATCCCAGCGAAAGACAGATACCATACATAAATTTATTGTAAAGGTATAATTTCTTTTAAATGATAACAATAACATTTTTACCTTTTTATAATAACTTTTCAAGTGTAGCGTTTCTTTTTTATACTACTTAGAATGGCAAACAAGCTGACGGCCCACCTGATGACAAGTGGTAATCGTCGCCTATACACATGAGCAGTACCACGGACATAACAGAGTATACTGTTTCGCCCATGATACCCCCCATCCGTTGCCATTCCTGAGGACTCAGGTGTTATTCTTCTGTACCCAGTAAATTCACGCCATATCCCACCCTTCAAACCGAAACACAGCCATGCAAACACAACTGCGTCACGGTTGAATTGGTTGATCCCATAGAACTTTTATCAAAATAGATTCCATTAGTTTAGTTTTTAAATGGAAATAACTGGTTTTAACACAACTGAAGTCGTTTTTTTTGTGAAATACCCGTACAATCTTTATAAAGTAGTGTGTAAGTAAGTAAGTGTTTTATATTATTCTCAATTTCGTGTATAATATAGTATATATCATATATGTGTAAGTATATTTGTTATTCATATATTTCGTCTATGTATGTAATTTTAGTATGTATGTATATCAATAATTAGTAGTACCGCATTCGAGTATTTTAACACTTCCCTATGGTTGACTGGGAGAGAATGCTTTTAGCATTAAGTCCGCCGTGTACACATATTTGTACTAATGAATAAATAAATAAATAAAATAAAATCTTAAATTATTAATTAATATAATTATACTTGTCTAGTCTTCTAATAAGTTCTCAACAAGCAGGTTATAAAAGCTAACCTTATCGCCACAGATGATGCAAGTTCGCATATCCCTAAAGAGGCACGTACTCACATTGAAAGTGACTGCAGTTCAGACATGCAAATTGTAGTACGTTTTATGAATTAATTGTTCAGTTTGTAAAAGTGCTTTAAAAGTAACTTAATAATAAATTATATCTTAAATTTGTTATTAAATAACATTTATTGAGTGCAATTTAAAATGTATGATTTAATATTAATATGGTCATAAGGCCATATTAAAATTATTTACGTAAAATAGTCTTACTAAATAATTATTAATTTGAAGGTGAGTTTGTTTCTTACATCTTGGCCTAATAACGAGTAAGTACAAGTAATCATGTATTTTATTATACATTGTAGGAGACAAAAATAGCATAATAAAATAATTTACATAAAAACGAAAGTAAATTAATACCTGTTTTCAAACAGAAAATTTTAAAATTAATTTTTCAAGTGAAGATTATCCAGATCTTTAACAAATTACTATAACATACTCGAGAGTTGTTAAAAAATGGGTTGCTACAGTATAGGCGAACTAATAAACGTGAAATAAAGAAAATTAAAAGTGTGCGACCAAATCAACTTCTACTTATATATAATTAACTGCTAATAAAAAAAAGCGTTCAAAGATAAAAGGATTGACAACCGCTTCGCGTGACCTTCTAGCTAAAATAAATACCCGGGTTCCTCAGTTCATACCACGCCGGCATACACAGACCAACAGTGTATGCCGGCTGCAAACCCAGTGACCCGGAGGTCGTCGACTCCGTAGTAGAAGCCGGGGTAATGGAGTACTCGGTTTGAAGGGTGGGATATGGCGTGAATTTACTGGGTACAGAGAATAACACCTGAGTCCTCAGGAATGGCAACGCATGGGGGGTATCATGGGCGAAACAGTATACTCTGTTATGTTCATGGTACAGCTTATGTCTATAGGCGACGGTTACCACTTTCCATTAGGTGGGCCGTCAGCTTGTTTGTCATTCGTAAGTTGTGTAAAAAAAACCTATACATTAAGATTAACAAGAATATAATTATATTTACTCTCTATCTACAATTTTAATTTTTCAATAAATATTTTTATTCTCTTCAAAAACATTACCGCAAATACTATTTTTAATCTATGATATGATTACATTGGACTAAGTTATGGTTATGGGCCATAGATTAAGCATAAGAACTGCAGTCTTTCTATCCTTAGAAATGAAATGAAATGAAATGAAATGAAATGAAATGAAAAGAAATGAAATTTATTTGCTAGAAACATTGTAGAAAAGGTGTTGCATTTGTGAAGTTTATAAGATGTCCATTATGTTTCGCCACATCAAATGGCATGCAAATATTAATTATTGAATTTATCCATTTTCTATTTTATACAGGTACATCATATATTTAATTTTCAATTACATATACAATAAATCACTATTAGTACGAAGTGTCACTTTGGTCATGCATTACAAACAGTCAATAAAGCTACTACAAATAATAAAATAATAAAAATGTCAAATAAAATTAAAATTACAATTTAAATTTCAACTAAGTCAATGTCACAGCATTTATATTTTACAAAAACTCATTAATATTGTAAAAATTATTTTCTATTAACCATGTTTTCAATTTTAATTTAAAATAATTTAATGGCAATTCTCTTATTTTTTTTGGTATCCTATTATAAATTCGAATAGCCATTACACCGCAATTTTGTTGATGCAGCGTTGACTTACAGGTGGGTAGTTTCAGTTTTGTGGGGTCTCTGGGTGTGAATTTATTATATTCTGTCATTGTTGTAAATAAATACAAATGTTTTTTTACAAATATTCCCACCTCATAAATATACATTGAGGTAAGTGTCAAAAGCTTTAATTTTTTAAATAGAGGTTTACAAGATTCTGTTGGACCAACACCACAAATCGCTCTTACACATTTCTTTTGCGCGATAAAAACTTTTCTTACTAATACGGAATTTCCCCATAGTAGAAGTCCGTATCTCAATATCGATCCTACATAACCGTGGTAAGCGGTAAGGACTGTGGTTTCATTGGCTTCTCTTTTTAACCTTCTTAGAGCATACACAAAACTGTTTATACGCTTCCTTACATTATTTGTATGTCCTTTCCAATTACAATTTTGGTCCAATATAAAGCCTAGAAACTTTATTTCTTTACATTCGGTTACAATTTCATTATCACATGTTATAAAAATGTTTATTGGTTTCATGGAATAATTCAAGAATTGCATATACTTAGTCTTAGATATATTGACACTTAAATCGTTGTGTTGCAACCAGTTTACTATGTCTCTTATTGTGTTCTTTATAGTAATTTCATAGTCAGATTTTATTCTTTCATTTTCAGGAATAATAACTGATAAATCGTCGGCAAATAAAACACATTGATATTTAGTTATATCTGGCAAGTCATTTATATATAGGAGGAATAATAGAGGTCCTAGTATACTTCCTTGTGGGACTCCCGATAGGTTACAATGATAATTAGACTTAAAAGACTTGTTTGTGTTTGTATTATCAATTTTATTTATAAGTACACATTGTTTTCTGTTTGAGATGAAGCTTGATATCCATTTCAGAGTAGGACCTCTAATCCCATATCTTTCGCACTTATTTAATAATATAGTATGATTTAAATTGTCAAAGGCCTTAGTCATGTCAAAAAATATTCCTGTTACTCTCTTTTTATTGTCAATATAATGTGTCAAATTACGAA